GGTAGAATAAATGGAGATGAAAGAGGTGAGGCAGAAGAGATATTATGACATTCCAAGTAACTCACAAAATGTCTGTGATATTTTTGAGTAACTGGGATAAAAACTGCATATACAGGAGATGATAAAATTATAGCAGGTCAGAATTGGAATTATTTACCTAGGATTTTGCTGAGAGGACAGAAATAAGCAAATTTATTACGTACTTAAAGTATGTTGCCCTAACCGGTTTGGCTCAGTGGATAGAGCGTTGGCCTGCGGACTCAAGGGTCCCAGGTTCGATTCCGGTCAAGGGCAATGTATCTTTGTTGCGGGCATATCCCCAGTAGGGAGGGTGCAGGAGGCAGCCGATCGATGTTTCTCTCGCATCAATGTTTCTAACTCTCTATCCCTCTCCCTTCCTCTCTGTAAAAATTCAATAAAATATATATTTTTTAAAAAAGTATGCAAGGCTCTGTGACAGGACAAAGCCATGTAAAGAAGAATAAGCCAGTTTCTAACATCAATTTTTGGGGGCTGGAGGGTGGGAGAAAGGGAGGAGCAGACAACTAAAAACCTCCGTACTACCAATAAGGACCAAAGAGTAAAAGCAGAGAGGATGGGATCATTGACCGGGGAGACAAGAGGACAAAGAAAGTCTACATTGCAGGATGCTGGATTTGGCTAAAAGAAGGCTAAGGCCAAGAAAGGCACAAGGCATGTTAGGTCCACAGTGAATGGACAGATGCAACAATATCAAGGTTCCAGCCACAGACAGGGCAGTAAGAGAGACTAGGCCAGATTGGACGGACTGTGATGCCAGGCTAAGGAGTCTGGCATTGATCCTGGAGGCCACATAAAAACAGTAGAAACATCAGATGCAGAAGGTGTATTTTCCCAAGTTAAAGTCAGCCCTGGGATGGAGGAAAAGTGGGAGACTGGAGGCAGAGACTGGTTAGAAAATTACTTGAGTAGGCATCATAGTATATAGTACAGTATTTAGGGCACATGCTTTGGAGTCAGACGGACCTCGCTCGGCCCATGGCCTAACCTCTGTATGCCCCAGCTGTTTCCTAGGTGAAATGGGGACAAGTGTGCCTCCGCTCAACACTTGAGTATGCAGTAAACATTCAGTCAATCAGAAGCTTTTATTACTACTGTCATCCAGTCAATAAGGGTATGAACTCTTCGTAATTTTGTGGTTGCTCCAACAAGCAGACAAAAAGTCAATTTGTGTATAAACTTCTAAAGGGCAAAGACAGATTCTTTCCTCAGTATCCCTCTCTTTCAGCTTAGTCTGGATATTAGAAACGAACACTGATCGAATCTGAGTCAATCTTACCTACTACAATTGTAAAATGTAATACACAAACATATACCAAGATAATAAATGAAGATTTGGGGCAAGGTGGGTTCACCACAAATACTGACTTAAAAATAATACAATAATTAATAAGTGATAATACAAGAATAAACTGTGTTCCGAATACTCATAACTGTAAACCTACTTTTGCCCCACAACACATTCACCTAAAAAACACTATAGCCAAAGCACCCAAAATTTCCTCTCTCCTCCAAACACTCACAAATAGCTAGGAAAAGGCAACAGGCAGTAGATGAAAGCCACATGTGGTCAAAGTATTTTATACATGCAAGGTCCAGCGATGGGATGGCGAGTACCAGGTCTCAAGCATCTTTCAAGTTCATTGGTTGTTGGCAAACCCCACTGCCTTGTGCACAAGGGCCGAGATCCCCATTTCCCCCCACGCTGACAGCCAGGGACCACTCTCAGCTCCTGGAGTCGGCCTGCAGTTCCTGTCCCCGTGGCCCCGTGGGCAGTTCATAGACAGATGTTTATTTTCTTTCAAGCCAGCTGGAGTATCTCTGCCTTCCTCATTTGCAATCAGCTGAGAAAATTCTCTGCTTTCAAAGGGCTAGCTAGCTTGATTAGGTTCTGTCTACCATAACAGTCTCCCTATACCAGTGGTTCTCAACCTTGGCTGCACATTAGAATCACCTGGGAATCTTTTTAAAATCCTGATTTCTGGGCCTCATCCTCCGGAAATTCTGTTTCTTTGTTATGGGTGGGGCCACAACATTAGTAACAAACAGAGAACCACTGCCCTATACAAAGATCAACCATTTAGGGACCTTAATTACACCTACAAAATCCCTTCACAGTAGTACCTACATTCATGTTTGACTGAATAACTGGAAGAGGTGTGTGTAAGGCTGGGAATCTTGGGGGGTGGGAGGTAAAGGGTGAGCTGTAGAAATATTTTATTTCTTTATTGACTATCTCACCTGCCAGGAAGGTAAGCTTCACGAAGAAAGGCATTTTTGTCTCTTTTTGTTTACTGTAAACAATAGTGTTTGGAATATGGTAGGTGCTCAATAAACGTGTCAAAAGAATCTTTAGACACCACAGTTCTCTCTCTCTCCCTCTCTGTATGTGTGTGTGTGTGTGTGTGTGTGTGTGTGTGTGTGTGTGTTTAATTTACAGGCTGAAAATGGGACTTCTAACTATATATATAAAAATCCTGGTTCAATGAAACCATTTAGTAGGAGTCCTTGAATGTCCATATAATTTTCTCTCACCCACAATTATTTGAACAGCTTTAACAAAATACAGTTGATCCTTATCAATCATAGATTCTGTATTTGTGAATCAGCCTAATTGCTAAAATTTACTTGTAACCCCCAAATCAATACTCTCGATGCTCTCACAGTCATTTGTGTGTGAAAAATCTGAACATGTGCACGGCAGTCTGAACACCCAACGCACATGTCCCAGCTGCGGTGGACAGGCAGCGCTCTGCCTGTTTCAGCTCTTACACTGAAGTATGTGGCCTTTCATGGTCTATTTAGTGCAGTGCTTTTTGCCTTTCTGTGGTTTTGTTGGTGATTTCAGTTTAAAATGGCCTTCAAGAGTAGTGCTGAAATGCTAAGAACATGATGTGCCTTACAGAGAAAATGCATACGTTAGAAAAGCTTTGTTCGGGCATGCGTTATAGTGCTATTGGCCTTGAGTTCAATATTTAATAATCAACAATGTATGTTAAACAAGGTGTCTTAAACAGAAATACGCAGAAGACAAGGTGATGCACTGATTGGTTGATGTAATGCTGTGACCAGCGGCTCACAGGAACCTAACCCTCTGTTTCCCCTGGGAGCAATGGTTCCGTATTTGATAATCCAGTATTCCAGTTGACTTTATAGAACATAACTACCACAAATAAGGAGATGAGTGCAATCACCCCATTTTACAGAGTTGAGGTTGATGTGAAAGGGCAGCTCCCAGCACCCTCTAACACAGCATCCTGGTTTAGTTTCTTCACAGCACTCACAACTGATCACTGTGTTTACTTCTTTATTTTCAGTCTAAGCCACTGCAGTTGTAAATTCCATGACAATCAGGGATTTATGGATCTTTGTCCATCTTGTTCTCTGTTATTTCCTCATACCAAGAACCATTCCAGGCACATACCCATCTGAATGAATAAAGAATTCTCCTGTGTGTAATTGTGTAAATATTAGGGGTGATTGATACTATAAAGCAGCGGTTCTCAACCTGTGGGTTGCGAACAATGAAAATACATCCTGCATATCAGATATTTACATTACGATTCATAACAGTAGCAAAATTACAGTTATAAAGTAGCAACGAAAATAATTTTATGGTTGGGGGTCACCACAACATGAGGAACTGTATTAAAGGATCGCGGCATGAGGAAGGTTGAGAACCACTGCTATAAAGGGTGAAGTAGTTACTTTTATTATGTTAAATTTAACATATTTAGCAAGACAAATGCAGGCTTAAGACTAAGTGTAGAAAGAGAGAGAAAGAGAGGGGGGAAAAAAGACTACATGGAGAGGGAGGGAGGGAGAGAGAGAGAGAGAGAGAGAACCCCCAAGCTGCCAGAAGTAGCACCATCTGAAACCCAGACAGCAGGTGAGATCACCTGGATGGAAACTTCACAACTGAATTCTGGCAACTCTACAGAGCGAGGGACAGAAAGATACACTCTGTAGTAGCAGTTTCCCCTGGTGCTGCTTTTATCCCTGATAGAGAAGCCAGAGGCAGGGAGATCACACAAGGGCTGAGATGGTGCCTCTGGAGCCCAAGCTCAGGTTAAACCATGTGTGAGAAACTGAGGTGAGCAAAAACCATGAGCAGGTATTCGAACCTGGCCAGGAAGCAGTGCCTGGCAGAGTGAGAGCATGCAAGTTAGAAGACTGTGGGGGACTGTCAGGTCTGAGCAGCTGATTCCATAAGAGGTTTCAGCAACCCCAGTCTAGGCGGAACTGATGGGCTCCGGATGCCTGCAGCACTTCCAGCAGCAGCAGGGTTGGTGAGATAGAGGACTCTAGGATTTTCATTGCATAAATACAGAGAGGAAAATGAGATAAGACCCCCTGACATCAACCCCTACTATAACAGACAAATAACACAAGAATTCAAGACAAGGAGGCGGGATTCCAGAATTAATGTTCACTGCTGCTCTGAGCAAAAACTGAACAGTAAACAATAAGGATTTCAAAATTAAAACAAAAGAGCCACTTCAGTATTCTAATTTAACCTTCAAAAAGAAAGACCTAAAGCACCATGAACTGAGAATTCCATTCCACCTCAACACCCTGTACTCCTGAGTTATTATGAGAACAGACTGCAACGCAATTCAACTCATGTTCCAAAATGCAACAAGCGGCTTCCACAGGACCTGCTGAAAGCAGCAGCGCGTCTCCTCGCCTCGCCTTCTGATTCATATTTTGGTAGCAAGGTTACAATTAGCTCACCAGTGGAGAATAAACCTATTTATAACACAGCAGTCCACCTGAAAGGCACAATCAACTAAAAAGGTTTCTAGAGGGAAATGAAGTGCCGCTTCTTCCTGCACTGATTGCAGGTTCCCAAGGTCCTTTAGGATGAAGCCTCACCTTCCTGTGTTCACAGGCACCACGCCGGCCACCTCGCAGCCTCCATGTTCTTATGTAACATTTACATAGTGCCATAAACATACCCAGAGTTGCGTAAGAATTAAAACGTTGCCAAACCAATAAAGCCTAAAGCAGGTCACTCCCTCCAGACTGCTTTTGATGAGCACAGGTATGCTGCCGGGTCTGCGATGGAAGAGCCCGTCAAGAGACAGAAATCTGACTCACCTACAAAAATGCACCAATAAGAAGAAATTAACCACACTGTGACGCGGTGGCGCTTCTGTCAATCCCGACAGCATGTTACTCTGCCCCATAACATAAAAAGTAACGCAACTTTGCTTGTTCACTGAAGTCAGAAACTGTGTCTAAAAATACCTCCCAGCCAACTGGCTATCGGTCAGTCAGTCTCACAAATGTCCCAATAAGAGTGACACAGACTGTCTCCTTACTTTACAGAGGGGGAACTGAGGCAGTCACAGGAAGGCTCGGAGACTTATTCAAGGACAGCCTGTAAGGGAACCACGTTGTGGGGCTGAAAACCAGCCTCCTCCCTCCCTCTGGCTCTAACCTTTAACCAGAGTAGCCATTTTATTATGTTTCAATCACATCTGTTCCAGGAGCTTTTAACAAAACTAATCAGAGATTCCCTTCCTCTCTCCAAGAGTTCACTTTCAACTGTACTTCAAAACCACGTCCACTGAATGAAGTTACAAGACTTGGCCTGAAAGGAGATTTTCAGTCTGTTCAAAGAAACTCAAAATGTTCCTATCAGAAGCTCAACTGCTGCCATTATTGCTTTCTTCTTAAGAAATGAGTGTCTTCTGTTACTAATGCAATTTTACATTTTTAAATACTAGTGTGAAAATTCCAAAGAGAGGCCTTAAAACTTGGTACACCTATCAAATGGATGCTGTTTATATATAACCTGGAAGTCATTCGCCTTATCACTGGCCTTTTACTAGTTCACTAATTAAAAGAAACACCTCTCCCTTGCTGTCCTCATGTCATGCCCAGGCAGCAGGCAGCAGGGCTGGGGCTCGGCAGCTCCTCCAGCCCACCTAGGGAAGCTCGACAGAGGAAGTGCAGGGGAGGAAAGCAATCAACTTCTTGTTATCATCAGCCTCTATTTTCCCAGAACTGACGTTTTACTTTAAGCCTTTTGCAACAGTGGTCTCTGTAGCATGCACTATTGGCAACTAGCTGTGTCCCGGAAAAAACTGTAGTGTCTGGCCAAGAAGTTTAAAGGCCTTCGAGAATGTTTGCTGGACACACAACCCAATTTCCAATTTACCAAAAAAAAGAAACTAATTCCCTATTTTGACCACCCATCTCACCCCAACAAACACCCATTTTAGGAAGGTTACAAAAAAATAAAATGAACTCTGCCCCATTCAGAACCAGTTGGATTATCAATTAAACATTCTTAACTAAGCTCACAAGAAAAGCCCCACAGACACTACACCAAGTTAACAGGGAAACGGCTGTTAAAAATCCTGCATACAGCAGGGACTGGATAAAAATTCCTATGGAAGGAATTTAAAGATTTATTCATACACATATCAGATGACAAACCTGAAGCCCAAGTCTCCTTATTTACTACCCCAGTAGGGAAATAACATGATGTTACACTTTCCAAAAACATGGCCCACAAGAAGGCCCAGAAAACATTATTCACGAAAACCATGATCTTAAATGTCAGGCTGCGTTCATACACCTTCCCTGTGTTATCAGAACCACGGCATATCACCGAGCACAGCGCAGGGAGACCCAGGAACACACGCCAGGTGCTGAACAGAAGTATTAGCCACTGAACAAAGACCCCACTTGCACAGGCAACACCACTGGGAACAAATATGGGAGCTGGAGACAATGAACTTGTTTCTGACACTCCAAAGTGGGATGAGGTCCTTTCCTGATTGTCTGGTGTATTCAAGGAGCCCGAACCACCTGAGAATCATTATCTGGAGTGGAGAGAGGAGAGCCACAGAACACACACTTCATCTCCCACTGCTGAAAGGCGAGGGGCTGCTGAGAAGTCAAAGCAGCAGGCTTTGTACATCAGAGCATATACAGTCCTGACAGTCTCTCCCAGATCCATCTGCGGGTCAATAATCACTTCAATATAACTGCCAAATATAACCTTCATCTGCTACCCCCGTGCCAAAACACATCGGAGACAACTCTCTTAAATGAAGTATTTGAGGGTTTCATCTGCTCTTCTCAGCCCCACAAAGCCTCATCAATAACACACCCGGTGGAAGGTGCCACAGAAAGGTACCCACCTCTCTAGCTGGGAGGGTGGGGGTGGGGCGGGGAGCCAAAGGCTGTGGGCGTTGGAAGGTGAGGGGCGTGTGCGGGCGGGGGAGGGCGAGG